CTGTTACAGGTGAAAAAATCTAAACTGTCGGAGAAGGAAATCCATTTTTGACAGCGACTAAACAGTGGGTAAATGACATTCTGTAAGGTACGGGGTTGGGCCAGGAGAAGTTACTTAGGCTGTATTCACACTGCAGAACTAATCCAGTTTAACATCATTTTAACAGCTATGACTCAGTGTTATGGAATTATGGGAACTGCAGTTTGTTGTGGCACAAAGGCTAAATGTCTCATAAAACAACAGTTCCCAGAATTCCATAGCATTGAGCCAGTTAAAATGGTGTCACCCTGGATTACTTCTGCACTGCAGATGCAGCCTTAGCTAACCTAAGTAGGTGATAGAGGATTTCTTGTTGTGTGCCTTAAAGTCATTTCCGACCTTTTTAAAAATATATTTTATTAATAGTAATATAACATACTTAAAATAAAATTTAAAAGTATCTTATACATAGTATTCCATATACAATATGTTATAAATCACATTACTTATCTATTCTTAATTAACTTATCTAAATCTTATTCACATTGAACCATTTAATATTAACTAAACTAATAATTAAAAAATACAATTATTATCGATATCTTCATTCTTATTTCTGTCTTTTCTTCAACATATACTATTCATAATTCCACACAAGTATAATACTATTAATTTATTACTAATTAACTTATCTCTATAATCAAGTGCTCCCCATCACCAGAGCCTAATTTCTTCATGTTATTCTATTCTCCAAAATTGTAACTCTTCATGTGGAGATAAACCACCTTCCTCTTTTACTTGAACCTTTTGTACAAATATCTTCCATGTTGCTTCAAAATAATTTCTCTTCATGATTCCATTTTTTACCTTAATTTCACATGTTAACTTATCATTAGACCATTGTTCACCATTACCACTGCTGTGTTCTTTGAATATAGTTGGTTTATCAATGAAGCTGCTGTTGCTATTATCAATCCTCTAACCCCCACCTCTATATCTAATTTCTTTAACATGATTTTGAATGCTGGCCATTCCACCCAATCAAAAGCTTTATAACTGTCTAATGCCATTATTCACAGTTTTTGTTTATTCTTCCCAATTGTGTTTATTTTATTCAATACCCTTCCTATTAAATTTGACATTTGTCTTCCTTGCACAAACCCACATTGATCATTTTGAAGATATTTATGTATAAACATATTCATTCTTTTTGCCATTATTGCTGTTAATATTTTAGCATCTTGATTTATAAGGGATATAGGTCTATATGATCCTGGGTCTGTTAAATCTTTGTCCTTTCTCCATTTAGAATTTTATTATATAACAATTCCAATTTAGGTATTAAAATCTTTTAAAATGTTTTATAATATTCTGGTCCCAACCTATCCATTCCTGGTGATTTCCCTCCTTTTCATTTATTTATCACTTCTTCTATTTCTTTTTTATTTTCCAATGTTTCTCAATATATTCTTCATTTTTTCCATTATTCCCTGCTGAATATAATTCTTTGTAATATTCTTCAAATATCTTTATCTTTTCTTTCATCATCATACATATCTTCCCTGTTTTATCTTTTATTACACCAATTATATTCCTCTTTCTTTTTTTTGTGCTGATCTTGCCAACATTTTAGAATTCCTATTGCAATACTCAAAAAAACCTCCTTCTGTAAATATATCAAATTTCTCTGGACCTCATCTAGTTTTATTTTCTCTAATTCATATCCTTTTACTTGTAATTCTATATATATATATATATATTTTACTCCTGTCTTTTATGTATTTATTCTCTAATTTTTTAATTTCAATTTCTAATTTTACTTTTCTCTCTCCCTGTCATCTCTTTACATCACATGTTTCCCTAATACAAATCTCTCTTGCAACTGCTTTCTAGTAGAGCAATAGTAATAGCAAGTACATTTGCATACTGCTTATCAGTGTGCTTAAGCACTCCCTACATGGTTTACAATGTGTAAGCTAATTGCCCCTAACAAGCTGGGTACTCATTTTAGCAACCTCGGAAGGATGCAAGCCTGAGTCGAGCTTGAGCCCTTGCCTGGTATTGAACTCGCAACCTTGCAGTTTGTGACTGAGTGACTGCAGTACAGGCATTTAACCACTGCGCCACCAGGACTCCTGTGTGCCGCCACAGTATCCCATAACATAGCTTAAGAAACCTCTCTATTATTAATGTCCTATATATTTTGCCATTCTTTCTCAATCTTACTCACTATATTTTTATAATTAAGTATTCTGGTGTCCAACCTCCATCTTTTTGCTTCTCTATAATCCTTTTTAACTACAAAATCCATATTTACTAATGCATCCCTTCTATTCCTGAATTTAATAGCTTTGGAATCATATTTTTGATACAAAAATAAAATCTATTCTTGAGTAATTGTTATGAACTGATTAATAATAACTATATTTCTTTTCATCCCCTTTAATCAGTCTCCGTATATCTTTTAATTTGTTTCTATTCATTACCTTATTCAGGGGTGTAATATTATTGAATCTATCCTTTGTTGTTGGGTCTGATTTATCTTTCCATTTACACATATCAAAATCTCCTGCCATAATTGTATAATCTCCCTGTATATCCTCCATTTCCTTAAATGTTTTTCACAAAATTATTTTTGTTTTTCATTTGAAGCATATACATGGACTAACAAATACTTTTCTCCCCCCACTGTTCCTTGTATAAGTATAAATCTTCCTTTTTCATCCTTCTTAACTTTTAACACATTAAAACCACATCTTTTAGATATTATGGTTGTCACTCCTCTTGCTTTTGAGGTATTATATACTTTTTCATAAGTAGCAACCCAATTCAGTTTAAGTTAATTTGTCCCTTGTTTTGCTTGATGTGTTTCCTGTTAAAAAATATATCTGCTTTCTCTTTCTTCAACAATTATTCTATCCTCTTTCTTTTAATTACAGACCTTAAACCTTTCACATTTAACATTGCTATCCTTACTTTATTTACCATATTACTTTTCTAAATCTTCTAAATTGGCTTTTCAGTGTGATGCCCCTACACCCATCCTTTCCCTCCCTTCCCTTCACCATGGACACATATATATTTCTACCCCCTCCTTGCTCATGGCTTTTGCTAGCCCTCCAAGTGGGGGAGAGAAAAAGCCACAATTCCCAGTGTATAATCAATTTTTTCTCCTCCTGATTGTTTATTAATTGTCTCTTCTGTCTTTTTTTCTAGAGTTCTTGTTAAAAATTGTTTTATTTTTTATTGTATTTGACCTTCTATGGTCCCTTGGCTCCACTAGTTGCATCCTCACTGTTGTTTTCTTCTTGCTACTACAGATTTAATTGTTTCAAAAGATCTATTCCTTGTTCCAGGAAATAGATCATATGTTGCTTCCCTTTCCACTGAAATTTCAAAAAAATTGAGTAACCCCAACTGTATCTTAATTCCATTTATTTATTTATTTATTTATTGCAGTACTGCAATGCATGGTTTGACTCCTCTTTCCTAACTGATAACTTCTGGGCAAAGAACATTATAGATTTCAATTATAGTGTCACAGTATTTCAGTGATCTTGAAAGTTTCCTGGTTTCTTGCATTGAAAGGTCTTTCTTATAAAAGCTTGTTACTCTCAAGATTACATCTCTGGGAACCAGGCCCCTTTTTAGAGTTGTTGCTCTGTGCAGACATTCCACATCCTGTTCTTCCCAAGTAATCTGAGGAACCATACTTTGTAGCCACTTAAGAATTTCCTTCTTCAAGGTCCTCGGTGTTTCGTTTGCCATCTCAGGAAAACCATGGATACAAAGACTATTTATTCTATTGCAGTCCTGCAGATCAATGATGTTTCATTCTAATTGGTCCAGTCTTGATTAATGTTCCAAAGTTATCTTCTGTTGAACTCTTTCTTCTTCTTGCAATGAGTTTACTTTTTCCCCACTCTTTCA